GTATTTTGTCTAAGTATCAAAATTATAATATAATACTAAGTTAGATTATCAGAGATAATGGCTATTTTGACAGTTCTTTGCAATCTGTCTGCTTGTGTTTTGTCTAAGTATCAAAGATTAATATAAATTAAGTTACATTATCAGAGATAATGGTTCTTTTATGTGAAAAGTAATACTGACAAATAAAGAATCGTTTGGATTCATGACATTATGTTTTGGTCTTGAACTCACCTTTTTTTTTGGTTGAGCTTTGTACATGCATACCCTCTGAAGACTTGTACGAAGTGTTATGTAATAGAATAAAAAAATTATGTGAATATGAAATATGAAATATAATTTGAATTCTATGAATAATAATGAAGTACAAGTCGAAGAGGGTTCCCACCCAACATAGTGCGCTAGTTTACTCAGAATGTATGTTGTTTACACCCACCCTATAAAAAAGGGGTTCGTTCTTTTTAATCTGGACTTTGAAAAGATGCTGGCTCCTTTCAGCCGGGGTTTATATACCCATACTAAACTACCTCATTTGAATTACTATAGATTCTTTGAATGTATTGTGTGATCTGCATGCCTGGCACCTGAAGGGAATGCATACCCTCTTCGACTTGTACTTTATAATTATTCATAGAATTCAAATTATATTTCATATTTCATATTCACATAATTTTTGAATTATGTCCTGTATGTAGTTCGTCGTCGTGCACGCTTGAGGGCGCGCTTCGCCCTTTTGTAATCGCCCGCGCAGTCGGCCTCGCATATATTGCGAAATAACGCAATAGGTTTGCGAAATAACGCAATTGCGAAATATTGTGTAAACTAACCTTCACCTCGGGTGTTCAGTTTGGCCTTTATTTGTCCATTTGGTTTAATTATTTTTTAAAGTTCCTGTCCTTCATTGTGTTTTTGTCCATTGTGCTCTTGTCATGGGGAGGGGCTGACAACAAGGATGTTGTCAATTTTTGTTGTCAACTTAGTGTGGATTTTTTTCCGGGGGGGGGGGGGCCTAAAGTTTAAGGGATGATCTGTCCACATCATCTTTCATCATCTTGGCCTGTCCCGTCGTAAACGACGATGAGTTCGACGTCTTTCACAATCGTCAATGTAGGTCTGTGAAGAGACTGAATGCCCTGAGTGGATAGCAGTGCGCCAGGAGGAGCGACCCAGTGCAACAGTCTTCCAGGTATCATGCGGAATGTCAAAGGAAGACAAGTCTCGCTTAAGGACGTCCTTGAAGCGCAACCTAGGACGACCACGAGGACGTGGGGCATCAGCCAGTTCACCGTAGAAGATGTCCTTAGGGAGGCGACCATCATCCATTCTGCGAACATGATCTTTGACCAGTCCATCGAAGGTGACGTACTCTCAGCATGGTGAACATAATTATCAGTTGCTCCAGTGAGATCAAGGATGGAGTTCGGAACGCGGTCTTTCCAGGTGATGCCATGGGCGTCAATCCTGGGGGGACAGGGGGACATGTCCCCCTCCCCCCCCCCCCCCCCCACACACACACTTTTTGAAGGGTGGGGGACACAATATCAAATGTCCCCCCAGATTTTTAAACTCGTGTCTCATTTACAGGGCCCTATTATGTACTTCAATGTATCTTTTGCTTAAAAAATATTGGTTAAAGTGGTCAGAAATTGCCTCACATAGAACTACAGAACATTTAGAATCCAAATTGTTTCGGGGCCCTTAAGCGGGCCCCGAACCCCACGCCTGTAGCTTAGAATTCTGGTAGCCAATTCAATGACTCCAACCCCGAAAACGATGTTCAAATAATTATCTTTTGATACGAAAATATTAGTTAAAGCATGGAGAAAAGTGGTAAGAAATTGCTTCAGATCACACCACAGAGCATCTAGAATCCATTTTTTTTCGGGGCCCTTAAGCGGGCCCCGAACCCCACGCCGTAAGGGCTTCGCGCTTCGCATCAGTTCTGATCTAGGTATGTCCCCCCACTTTTGAGAAGCGATTGACGCCCCTGGGTGATGCGAAGTGTGGAACGAAGGCAACGGAAGTGAAATGAATTTAAGCGTCGCTCCTGGCGGCTGTACGTGGCCCAAGTCTCGCTGCAGTAAAGTAGGACACTCAGTACGCAAGCTGTGTACACACGGATTTTAAGATTGATGGAGAGGTCCCGGTTGTCCCACACGCGGGAACGAAGCTGACCAAAGGTGATTGAAGCCTTCCCAATGCGAGTGTCGATCTCCGCATCCAGAGAGTTGTTGTTAGTGATCGTGGAACCTGCAGAACTTGTTTACCACACTTAGTGCTGAACCATTGATGTAGAAGTTGGGTGGAGCTGGTGTCCCCTGAGAGAGAACTACTGTTTTGTTGAGGCTAATCTTCAACGTTTAGCCGTCTTCACACGTTACCCGGCCGCCGTGGGTTGTATCACTTGGTACTTGTTTTTTTTCAAGGTGTTTTTTTTCCCAAAACGGATTATGCAATATTTGTCGAGCAAGTTGTGCAACAAGCTAAGCTTTTGTTTGTGGACCGGACCGAGATACCGTTATCTAGTCCGAGTATCACCCGTTATCCACGGAGAAGTCTCCTGTATAACGTCTGATAAGGCCGAAAAAAAATAGTTCTGCTTCCGATTAGGCCAAAAAAAACAAATACTCGGTCTCTGGTCAGCGCGCGCGTCGATTTTAATCATGCGTGTCAACCTTTTTCCCCCCTTCAAATTAACTCGGAAGCTACAACAGCGCCCTCTATTGCCGCATGATTTTTGTACTAGGGAGCACCAAGGAATGGGGAAATTGCACCAAGGCAAATGATAAAGGGTACCAAGGCAAATTATGGAGGACACCAATGTATAATGAGGACACAAAAAAGCAAAATAGTACCCATTCAATTATATGCGAAGTTTTAGCCTGAACTATTTCCATTGCACTACGAAAGCTATACACAAAATGGCCACAAAAAGTGAATAAAACCTACCTTATTATTGTCACTATATTTACGTTCGATAATTCTTAAAAAATAATGGAAAATTCAGGCCTTTCGCATCATATGCTCAACGCTAGTCAAGACGGGAAGCTGGCGAAAACTCCGAAGTGTGTGATGCACTGTGCATGTGTGGCCCGCAGCCGACAGACCTCGTTTTACGGTCGAAAATTTCGGGAAACATGCTGCATGTGTCACTCCAAATACGAGTAGTGCGATCTCAAATGAACTCTTGAACACGGAAAATACATACACATTCTGTGAATTAACTTGCAAAAATGTTCTTTCTCCATCGGTGTTTTCTTGGCATTTTTGTAAACGATGTCGAATCCGACCAGTCGACATCGACAGTGCACGTGCCTAATGCATAGCCATGCTAGCGCATAGCCATGACAGACTGGTTACCGCACTTTCATCATGTCTTCTAAATTGGCCCCTGCGCGGCGCGGCGGGAACCAGTCGTCACTGCATCGAGCAAGGTTTACGCACGTGATTATAGTCACTGTGACATCGAATTGCGAGGTATGATGATAGATCGCGAAGCGAATTTGGTTTCTTTTGAAAAAAATAGCGAATGTAAGTAAGAAAACAAATAAATACAAGAATTTTTTGACGCAAATGGGTTGTTGAGAGGTATTTTGTGAAGACAGAAAAGACAAGCTTTTATTTTTATTTATTAATAATTATATATATTTTTTTTTTGGAATTGCCGATAGAATTTTTAGGGTCGCAGCCTAAAAATAGGGTCGGTCGGGTAACCGGAAGCAGAAGTATTATTTTTTGGGGCCTAAGTCTAAACATGCAGATATCTGCCCGCCGGCCAATCGAAGTCGACTTTACTAAATTTGTGACGTCACTTCATTCCCAAATCAGGACTAAAATTGTGATTGGTCAATTCGAATGCAGTGTTTTGGCAACCATAGCCTTTCACTCTGTGACAACTGAGTTGACACAACAAAAACCACAATTAAAAAATGGCGCAATTCTCTAAATAGACCCTTTCATAAAATTGGTCACTGCTCAGTCAACCGTGAATGTAATGACATGACCAGGGTGTCATTTTAAAGAGGAGATTCAACCCTAACAGAAGATATCTCCCTTTAATTCACATGTCCCCTACTTCTGTTCCAATTAGCAAAAATATCTCGGTTTTTAGTTTTTTTTATCCACCCTGTATAGTGGTCAGAGTCCCAAGAAAGATAACTACGACTCACAATATAAACAGCAATTATATATTAACTTGAACTACTTTATTTATTCCACTACTAAAGACTACTCCAATCTGTACAAAAGAAATGTGTTTTCCCATGTGTTTCTGATATTTGACCTACATAATGATTAGCCACTATCAGCTGGGCCCCAAGACTCCACGAACGGAGGAGTAAGTACAATTTTCAAGTGAGTTTTGAGGTCTAAATATGAAACATCTTGTCACCATAAGAACAAGCAACCAGACCCTTACAGGAGACCTTAATAACAAGAGATGCAATGTAGTGGCTGTGAATCTTTACCTTGATATCAACATTACTGAAAATATTTTCTTTCCAAAGATTGCCTTTAAAGGGAATGTACATCATTGGCTTTTGCTGTAATTTTCGGAAATGAACTATTTGAGGGGTTAGTACGTATAGTAAATCAAATTTTGTTACACTGACATGTTTGAAGTTTTGTGTTCGAAAATGCTGGAAAAACCAAGAAAAACAAAAATGTTCAATTTGTCTGGTTCCCTGACTCCACTGAATATGGAATGGATCAATTTATAGATGCTGGAAAATTGTAAGATATGGAAACCAGGCTAGCTGGCCTGCAGCCGTTTATGAACATGTAACCAATAGCAATCAAAATTTGGACTGAAAATATGGTAAATTTGGAGCAGAAGCTGACCAACGGTGAACGGCCGACCACCGTTGGAAATTTATACAAAAATACCAATTTTCTTGGAAATGACTTTACACCAGGTGCCATAATTTTACAGGAATGTTTTAGACTGTCATTTACCAACATCCTAGTAAGGTATTTTGTAAAAATGTGATAGTTTTGTTTTTCGATGTTTGCAAATGTTGTATATTCCCTTTAAGATGTGGCAAAACCGGCAAATTGTTTTAACCAGTTCACGTTGGAAGATGTGTATACAGGCAAAGGTTTTGCGGTGTTCGGAACAGATGACACATAAGCACGCAACGAGCAAGGCTGGAAATATTTGTTAGCGATCTGCTCGCAGCAAGCGAGGCCGGAAATATCAGGGTGTGCTTTTTCTGTGCTACCCGCAGGTGACGGCCTGAACCCGTCAGGCATCGAGGGAAGGAGGACATCTGTCATTCTGGGGATGGAAACTACTGGTGTTCATTTACTTGTGTCGCTGATGCAGGCCACCATTCCTGTACTCTCCAGGCCGTCGAAAAAGAAGAAATTGTTGTGAGGGATGTCACGGCAGGATGCAGCCTGTGGATGCAAGAATTAAGAAAAACAAAGCAGAAAAAACTGTTAGTAGCAGGTTTGCAGTTTTTTCTTCTACAGAGCTCTTCAATGGACCCTTCTGAATTTGGCTCCGCCCATCTTAGTCTATGGAATAGACCTTTGCACAGTCTATGATATGCAAGCAGATTCGGTGATTAATTATGCAAAACAAGACTGCGTCTTGACCTACAGATTCTGACCATTCAGCGCCTTGTATCGGGTTGTCCGTAACTTGTTGTATTACAAAAAGATGAGCCAAATTGACCAATCAACAGCTTAGTCCACCTTTCTGATCGAAATGATGTCACAATTTCTAAAGTCGACTCCGATCGGCTGGCGCGCGGGATTGCATAAAATTTACATTGCGCCGATATATCAGATGTTGGTTACGGAGAGGGCTCCGATGGTTGGACAACAGGTGATACTCAGACTAGGCCCACCTTTGGTGTGCGCACATTTCTCACAGTGCTTGTGACTAACTTGACGAATGTCATCTGACCAGAAGTCACTAATAAATCGGTCAATGTACACTTCCAATATGCTTTTGTATTGTTTTTGTGTTTTATTGGATTAACCCTCCAACTGTATTGGATTAACCCTCCAACTGTTATCTCCAAAATTTTGTGTGAAATGTGTAACAGTGTTAAAGACTATAAGAGGCTAACTTTCCTTGTTTTATTCAGCAAATCTTGCAAAAATGCAGTTAAGTCTCAGAAAACTGAGACTAAATCAATGTGTTTCTTTCTTTCTTAATTTTTATTTATTTTAGAGTTGGTTTCATTTTTTTACAATTTTGATTTCAGATGCAGTAGAAAGAGCATACTCTGCTCTTCATTTGGATGTATCACTGATTTTGACAAATTAATACATGAAGGCAAATGTGTGAGTGAAAATGTTGACTGTTCCTATACTGGAATTCGCAAAAGAAAATAATAGAAACCATTTTTGCGGTGGTGCCACGCCAATGTGCGCATGCAGCACGCTTTCCTAAAGACAAGGTGCGCATGCATTTTGGTAACAATATTTGTGAAAGGAGCCCAGAGTGCATGCGTATTACCTGAGCGCGACTCCCATGAGTCTGCTGTTGCATGAGTCATGAGTCGGCTGTTGCCGATTTTGTCTGTAGACCTTATTCAAGAGGAAGCCATTTTGACCGTGTTCCCTGAATGTATTTTATATATTGTAAACTGTTGACTGGGATGGTGCCAGACTATTTAGGCCCCCCCAAAAAATAGTTCTGCTTCCGATTACATGGCAATCGAAAATAGGGTAGGTAGGTAGGTAGGGAAATTTTTTTTTTTTTGGCCATTTTTTTGTGTGTACGATCATATGGAGGCTTCTCCGTGTAGTCAAGGGTAAAAGGTAGAAATTGATGGTTTTGGGTGTTTTTTCCTCACTTTTCCAATAAAAAAATTAGGGTAGGGGCTGTCAGAATAGGGTAGGTAGGGAAACCGGAAGCAGAACTATTTTTTTTTTTTTGGCCTTATGTGTTCCAAGCCTCACTTTAATAATGTTTTAGTGTGGCTTAAAACATTACAGGGTTTGTACTTTTATCACAAATTTTAAATTATTCAACAGAGCAGACTGGTATTAATTTGTAATGAACTTTATTTCATTGCTTTTATTTCTATTCGCGAGCTCCAAAAAAGTGGCAATTTTACCTCACTTTCAATTTAATATGGCCGAGTGGTGAATAAAGTCTAGTGACATACCTTGTGCAAGATTTGTACAGCCGTCTTTTAATACCAAAATGTAGCTTGGTGACTCCTTTCATTGGGTTGGATCACATTAATAATCAAACACGACAGCAGCACACCTAGACTGCTAGCTCAAAAAGTACAATTTTATCCAAGGAATATGAAAATGATGTACCTTAATTACTTCTTGGCCGAGTACACCTCCAACGACAGCACATACTGGACTAAGCTCAGCAGCACAGTGACTGCAAGACATTGAAAAGATAGGTACATAGAATGCACACACGAACCATTTCTAGCAGATTGTTTGACACAACTTGTGTGTAGTTTGAACTCATCCATTCCTTTCTACAGCCTGTCTAAAAAAAATGGTACAATCGAAAACGATTTTTTTTCAATATTAAATCTCAACATAAGTAAGTCGTTTTGAGCATCACATTAAAGAAAAAAGACCAGACTTTCCAATACTTTTTGTTTCATCTCATTTGCTTTTTTCAATCCAGAGATAACTCCAGTTTACTGCGGAACACAAAATCGAGTTTGTTTCTTTTGCCAAGTTGCAATCTTTTGTGAGCTTCAAGACAGCATGGCACAGTGCTCGAAACAACTCTGTCCATGCATAAAAGTGGCACAAAATCGATTTTGGTGTATCGCACTAAATTGATTATATCTCTGAATTGACAAAAGCAAATAAGATCAAACAAACACTATTGGAAAGCCCAGTCTTTGTTCTTTAATATTATGCCAAGTAAGAATGACTTATTTTGAAATTTCATATTCAACCAATTTTTTTTCTGATTGTACCATTTTTTTTTTGACAGGCTATAGAAGCAACCTGTAATCCATTACTCAAATAAACATCTACATGTATATGAGCCTGCATTACAGACCAGTCTTCGAGACCACGTTATTGGAAGGAGCTGAACTGTCAGTATATATTATTATAACACCTCACCCACAGATTCTGTATCTTGATTGGCCGAGAGCGAGTCACATGGCATTCGCTATTTTTGCTGCCTTGCTGTGCATGGCCAAAAGTACTATACTCGTAGCAACCAGAGTACTACGCATAAGAACTGGTATTATGTGCAAATGCATATACGGGTGTGCGCGTTGCGCGTATTGTTCCCAAGCGCTAGTGCTACTGAAGTGGGTTCAAACATTTCGTAAAGGGGTAGTTTAGAAAAGTGCAAGTAAATTTTCAACTACTTTTGTATTCAAATTGAAATACATTTTTATTGTATTTAGATTAAATTAATCAGTCATCGCTTAAAATCAAGCAATATCTGTGGGGGAGGTGTTATAAAACAAATATTGACTGCTTTGTCTCGTTGTGTAGTAAAACCAGCCTCCCTCGGTGATCCATGGAGCATTCTATTTTCCCTCGGCTTCACCTCGGGACAAATAGAATGCTTCATGGATCACCTCGGGAGGCTGGTTTTACTACACCACTCGAAGCAGTCAATATTTGTATACTATGTAGTTGTGTTACAGTATAATTGTGGTCATTTTGCGGAGAACACAAAAAAATATATTGTGGTCGACTCTAATGGAATCAGTCACAATCATGAGTCAAACACATGCAAGGTCACAAGTAAGAGGGGGTAGGCAACGGCAAAATAATGCCTTTGTTGCAATTTATTGGATCAGCAGATTACCGCTTGGCGTGAGACTGGAAGACTTGTGATTGACTTGGGAGGACTGGACAACAAATCCCCAAAAGTGGCGGGTGCCATTTAGCTGATTGCTTTGTCTTGATAAGATATTGAGCCAGACGTTTGCTCAATAGAAAGCAATGGACGTCATGCTCAGTACTTGGTTCCAAAGAGGGAGTTAGGAGGGACTCAAATGCATTGCCAACATTGGTCTTGGTTCCATGACGTCCTTAGCGGTGCGACGTTTTAGCGCACATGGGTTATTGAATTTTTTTTTTTTTTACCTGATTTTTTTGCTTCAAATGTCGGCTGATGACTGCAAATGGTGCCCGACTAAACTTAGTGCAAATATATGGGAGTCCAGAGAGGCCACATAAAGCTTATTCTCGACCATAACCCAATCTAAAAACACGTTAAAATTGTGCAGCAGCAGGATTCCAGTCAAACCAGTGAGTTTGGCGGTTTTGAGACATCATCTTTCATTGAAAAAAAAACTTTTTCATTTTGCCGACGCGCATGGCTACGGCGACGCGCACGCATACCAGAAACCGGAGACTTTTTTGGCCTTGACGCACATCACTATAACAGTCTGCAAAGGATGTCTTGGGAATTTTGTAATTCTGCTCGGGAAATTCCGAGCATGACCTAAGCATGTCTGGTGATGTAAGCATGTCTGGTGACGTAAGCATGTCTGGTGATGTAAGCATGTCTGGTGATGTAAGCATGTCTGGTGATGTAAGCATGTCTGGTGGCGTACGCATATCTGTTTTTTGTATGCACTGAAGCTTGTCTATAATGGAGGTCAATGCTTGTGTGACGGTTTAAAATATACCCCCCCCCCCCTTTTTATTTTCCGGACTATTTCTTATGCACTATATCCTTACGCCTCTTTCATTATTATTTAAATTATGTAACAATACACTCTTCCCGGCCCGGCAAACGGCCCGCCGCACTCCATCTTCTGTATTTGAAGAGACAACATTAGATTTACTCTTCTCTTCATTTTACAGGTAAATACTTCTTTATTTTCTTATAATTCATTACTTCTAGCTTAAACTTCATTTACTCATCTACTCATATCTTACGTGTTCATTTATATTTTATTAAGCCTTTTCTACGATTTATAGTGCATTTTCGTGGTTAGCAATACTTCGGTTTCTTGGACTTGTGGTATAGATTGTTACGACTTATTCCTTATTCTTAGACTTACAATCTAGCTTAATCCTTGTCATGCTTTAGCCATCCCTTTGATATTTAACTTTAGTAATTATTGTTTAGCATTTGCTTTCAATTACTTGGCTAAATCGTCCATGGAGACATATTTTACTTTTAGATATTTTTTATAATTTGTCATGTAAATATTTATTTAAACACTCCATCTTCTGTATTTGAAGAGACAACATTAGATTTACTCTTCTCTTCATTTTACAGGAATAAAACAACAGAGATAACAGAGAATTTGCTTCAGCCGTTCCTCATTCCCATTTCGACACCGATCCCCCCGGTGTCACACTTGCAAGTGAGCCAAGCGTTGTTAACAAAAGTGTTGACAGTGTAGACGAAGCAGTCAATTTGGCAGCAAAGAAACTGGGCCTTGGAAGGCCAAAAATCAGTGTTCTTCGTCAATTTGGACTTGGCCATGATTCAACCAAACTGTACGGTCTATCGGTTAGTGCCTAGTGCCATCAACTGCAGGTGTACAATACGTCTCCTGACTAATGGTTCTATTCGGAACAGCTCTTTGCTTTCCACCAATGCGCATATGCTAGAATTTTGCATATTAAGTCACGCCACGTTGCAATGCGAAATTCCCAAGATGTTCTTTGCATGCGGTTTGTCAACCGAGTCAGGTTTGTCAATGGGAACATGAATGCTGCTGCGCAGTACAAAGGCTGCATCGTCTATCGTGAACTACCCCGCTGTAATGAATGTCTTGCACCAAACTACGCCGACAAATGTGACCTGTTCTGTCAAAAGCAGACGCTTCTGGGCAGAGGTTGAAATTCAGATAGGGCCAAAAAACGCTGTGGGGTGATTTTTTTCCCATTTTCTAATTTTTGCATATTTGTAATCCTGAGCATGTCTAAAATATACTATAAAAGTTTGAAACCCTAATTTGATCTCTAATAATAGTATTTTTGATGATTTGTTAAGGTATATCAGTTAAAGAAATGTCTGTTTTGTGACGTTCGTGTCCATTTTCTCTGTTTTCTACTTTTCGTCCCAATGAACTTCAAAATAGCATAACTTTGCGCAGGAATGACCGGTTTCAAAAATTAAACCACCTATTAAAAGGAAACAGAACATATTTTAACAATATGCAAAAATCTCATTTTTGACCTTATGCCCAGAAAAGTCTGATTTTGACAGGACAGGTCACAAATGTCTGGTGTTCCATTGAAGACAAATACATGTTTATGCACATTCAGAACAAAAGTGTGTGTGCTATGCACTGTACACAATGTGGTTCCCCCAAGCAGCTTAACAAGTGGTCAGTAAATATATCCACTGTACATACGTGGAATCAATACATGTGTCGGGTCTTTCTCACCTAGCAAAGTCATCGCTGACAAAATCCGCCTTGATTCCAGCCTCATCCAGCACCTCGTCTCTCAGTCTCAGCAATTCTGTTTTGTCATTCTCCAGTTTGTCGGGACTAGGATTCCTTCCAAACTCCTGCTGAAATTTCCACAGCGCTGATGAAAATACAAAAGATACGTTCGGGTGGAATATAAAAATGTGACATCAAACATGGAACACGGCATGGAGTCTTTGTCCCACCTTGCACCGAGCGACAACATTTTTTGAGGTTTTCCAAGTCTGGTGCTTGACTAAGCATGTTTACTTGTAAACAATGTAAACTTTTTAAAACTCTTCCACTACGGATTTAGTTTCATCAACAAGATGGAATTAAATGCCATTGAATATCTGAGACATTTTATAAAGTTAGTGTAAGTCCCCATTCTTGCATGCTACTTAGCATATTACATGTATATACCAAAATGAAGCTTATTCTAAGTATGATTTTTAAAAACCAGTAATCTTGAAACAAATTCAGCTGATTTCTTTACTTCTGTTTGTTGATGAAGACATTAGTGCTATGATTGTGTTTTCAGTACTTGTTCAGAGTCACATTGAAGAGTATATGACGTCTGGCCAGCCGATATACAACTAGCCAATGTATTAGCTTGCCTACACAGAGTTAATACACTTAAGGCTAACCCTAACCTTCCCAAATCCTCCAGAATCCTCTTTGCAAAAAGGCGGATTTTGGAGGATTGAGGTTATATGGCAAAAGTGTGTGGCTAATTTTTGAGGATGCACTGTATCAAGGTCTTAGGCCAGACCTTGTGTTGTTGGGGCCGTATCAGAAGTCCGATGCCTTGTAAGTCCAAAATGTTGGACTTATGAGCGTTGGACTTATGAGGCATACAATTGATTTATTCCGCCTCATAAGTCTGACGTCGGAAAAACGAAGCCTTTGAGGCGTCGGCCCTATGAAGACTGGAGCTATGAGGCGTCAGACCTATAAGGCGTCGGACCTATGAGGTGTCGGACCTATGAGGCGTCAGACTTATGGGCCTTTATTTGGTTGGGGGATGCGATTTTGTCGGACTTATGGGGCGTCGGACCAATGAGGCGTCAGACTTATGAGCGGACCCCGTGTTGTTAATGTTAAGCCATGCATAAATTCAGGCTACATGTATATTGTTCTTGAAAACATCCGCACTGCTCCAGGATGTCACTGGCTCTGCCTCAACAGATTCACAGTGATTGCCGGAGAATTTTGCAGGATTGAGGCAGTGGTCACCCCTCCAAGGACCACATTCATGAAATAACGGAGGATTTTGCAGGATTGAGGCTGTATGGTATTTTTACATGGAGGCAGTTGGAGGATTTTGCAGAATTGAGGTTACATCCCAGCAAAAATGCCAAGGGAGTTACGGTTTTAATGTAATTTTTGAGTCATCAAGAATTGTTTTCGAACTAAAATCAACACATGCACCTCATGTTCAATGTTACACTTTTTTTACTCACCCTGCACAACAAAGTAAACTTTCGGCATGTACTTCAACTGTTTTGGGCTCAATTGTGTCCAGTCTTTCTGAAGGGCGTTGTTGAGTCGGCAGAAGTTGAGAGTTCGCTTGACATAGCTAGTCTCCTTGTGAAATGACTGCTTCTTGGGCTGCGGTTCATCGTCTTTGTCACTAACTGGATCCTTCTTGAAGTGGATCTTTTCCCTGGTGTTAAAACAAGATCAATATTAATTAGGATTGTACCGTTGGCTTGTATGGAACAAGAAATAAGTGAATGCTGCCACAAAATCTACAATATATGAATATCAATTAACAGATTAACCTAACTCCATACTGTCTTTTACTAAGTGCTGGACCAAGTCCGCCAAAATCCATCAATCACACTGCTTCGAATGAACTTCATCAATATTTTAATAGTCAAACCAGGCCTGCATGATCAAGTCCCAAAAATCCACCAAAATGCGGGGGGATGGATTTTGATGGAGTTGGGGAGGTTAGGGTTAGTGTGGTTTTCAATGGGATGTTGGGTAAAGGAGTCAATCTCTTAGCAAGTTCCTAGTTATGTATACAAGTGGAAAATGGAAAGAGAACAAAGTTGATTTTAAAAGTCCTTGCAGAAATTCATGGAACTTTCTTATTTTACTTTTTAACTTTCAAGGGGAATCATGCTTTATATAAAGTTATATTGCATGGACCGTGCATTCCTACATCTTTCAAACTGAATGTCATAAATTGAGTAGTCATGCATGAATTTCTGAAATCCGTCAAATGCAGTGGTTTATTAAACCAGGATTTCATTCAAGGTAGTGAAAATGAAAAAATGCTGGCTTTTTGCTTTTGAGTGTTACAATGTACATTTCTATACGGAAGGAGAAGTTGACATGATTTTTTTTATTTTTTGAGAGCGATGCACTAATTTTTCAGCGTGAGGAAAATTGTCAATCTGTCCAGTCAGCATTGGGGAAGCACCTCCCTTAGTTTTTGCATGGTGAGACCAGCGGTCTCATGATTTACATTTCTTATGCACGAGACTTTCATAATGTACCATTCACGTTTCATGATGTACTACAACGCAGCTTCACTTACTCAACAAAATCATGCTCGTTCAAATCAGCAAACATGTAGCCATAGAACCCGTACGTATCCCCTGCAAAGAACTTCACTCCGATGTCATGGCAGATCCTGTTCACCCTGTCCAGTGTCTTATACGAGCAGCACGTCAGACAGACGATGTCAAACTGTCGGAAGTATTCCTCAGATTTACTGGTAATGTTAGACTCGTCCGCTGTCACACGCACGTTGGGATTCAACTCTTGGGTGTTTGCGACTGATGCGAGTGCTCGCTAAAATCAGAAAAGACAGAAAAAAATACATTTATACGACAATTCCGGATTGGGTTTCATTCTTAAGATTACTCATAAGATGGAATTTGCATCCGGGTGCTGTGAATTCATTACTGGGTTTTGCTCTTCGCCAACGTATTTTTAGCTGGGGACAGCAGCTCAGCACGTCGTTGTGTCTCTCCGTTAGTAGTTAGTAACAAAAACGTTCTGCGCAGCCGCAGCTCAACGAAAGGCGATAATCCGGGGGACAATAGCCGCATGCCTGCTCGGCCGTACACATTCCACGCAAAGTGCAACACAAATTCATTGGGAGTCCGCAGCTTCCAAAATTATATCGAGCCTGTTTATAAACAATGTACACATGTATATAAACACTGAGTATACAGTAAAACAACGGGTTACTACTGACGACCTAATAGAAGGCGCCCCCTGAATGGTCAGAATCTGGAGGTCAAGATACGGTCTTCTTTTGCACAATTAATCGCCGAAGCTTCACGGATATTATAGACGCTTGCTTTGAAAGCGGCTATTCCAAAGACTAGGGGACAGGTTACCCTGATAAAAGTTTATGACACCTCACCAAAGTTTTGCTGTCATGCTACAATTTTATGACCCCGCCATTTTTTTCCATTACCCTTTCACATTTTTAGCAAACAGCAAGAAGACTACATGTACATAGTTCATTGCTTCCTAATTAGCACAAAATATGTAAATAATTGAAGTGTTTTCTACCAGTAAAATGGTAGTCTCCGTCAGGACTGCCACAGTAATTGTTCTTAAAAGAGCACCCTTTGTAAAGTTATGGTTCTGACAGTCTTGATCACAGCACCAGAGTAACTCCAGACTGGGACCCAGTGCTGGAAAACATGCAAAACTAATTCAGGCCAACTTTACTCACTCTTTAGCCAGCAAAATTCTCGAAAAATCTTCATTGGGCAAAGAAAAGGTCCTCAGTATTTCACCAGCCAAATTTGAAGTCTTGATTCAATTTTTTTAAAGGAGACTTTTCTTCAATATTTTGCACCTGAGAGGGAAGTTAAGTGATTTCAAATTGAGGTTAAAGACTAGACTGGTACTGTGGTACAGGTCCAACCATGGTCTAACCATACCAACTGTTTGAAAAGACTGGCCTCTTCATTAGTCTGGTGGCCTACTATGGAGAAATGTGTAGAATTAGAGATCAGTACCAAACATGCCAGATGTTTACAGTTGATTGATGCAGTAGTTACTGAAGGGTTGTTGGACTGGTTGTTTCGGGTGCCAGTCTATTTTCTTGTATTGCATGTTTTGGGACTCTCATACACAGTATTGAGAGTCCTAAATTTTTGGACCAGAGTAACTCCAAAGTCCTCTCACAAGTCCAGCCACAAATAACAGTAAATGAACAATGACAGAGGAATACTTTGGACAAAGTTCATTTGAACAACTTGACTTGTGATTGATTTGCCATGGACTTCTGTTGACTTTGAAGACTTAAATTTTGATGAAGTTGGCCTCAACACTGAATTGTGGGAAAATACTGAATGTCACTGTTTTGCTCGTACCCCCCGCCCTGCAAACAGGACGCTGGGATACTCTGATGAGCTTCACAGAATCCTGTGAAGGAAGTGGCCTATGACCTATGTATAAAGCATCTGGCTGCAGCTGTTCAAGACCGCAGATAGTCAATGCGCGCAAATGCTATCCGAAAACTTTCCCATAGAAATGCACACATTCCACACTGGATGTGATTTCTGTTTCATTGCGGACCATGTGGACAAAATTCTGAGCGTCGCATAATACAATTTGACCGTTCGTGATTCGAAACGGAGCCTGGGCGAGTGACGGGAATTGTAAATTTACAACATAGATAAGTTTTAAATATTTCCTACATTTTTATTACGCTTTTTCAAACTTTGAGTCATGACCGTGATGACGCCCAGGTCACAGGTCACGCAAAATCCAACCAATCAGAGAATGAATTCATCAGAGTATCCCAGCGTCCTGTTTGCAGGGCGGGGGGTACGAGCGAATGTCACTGTCTCCTTGTCATCAACTTTATACTGAAAAATATTGAAAAGAAAAGACTTGTAAGGCAGCAACTGTCATCTCACATTTTTCCCGACATCTTCTCTGGAGACGAGGAATTGTGAGCAAGCATCCAGTTCACTGACGCAGGAGTGGTCCAGTAGTGTGATGGACTTCACCCCAGCAAGCACCACGTTCTTGCACACCTCTGCCCCAAGTCCACCCAGGCCTGCCAGGAGGAAACGTGTCCCACGCAATCTAGTGAACATGAACAAAGGACAACAAAAAAATTGAAAATCCACTTATTAATACATTTAGTTACATGTATAGTGTTGGCCGCTACAAACCAGAGAATAAATGGCACTACTGCCACTCGTTATTTTTATTTTTATTTTTTTTTTTATGTAGGACCTTTTGCCCTAAATACATTATCCTTAATTAATGGATAATGCAATGAAATTCTTCATGGTCTGACACTTGAATAAGGAAAACTTTACAAAATACTAGTCCGAGTATAAACTAGGACTGTACGAATCGCCTTTTTTAACATTTGGACACGGTCAGGCAAATATCCCCTGACCATGTCCAAATGTTTAAAAAAGGCAATTCGTAGAGTCCTAGTTACTCGGACTAACAAAATACATGTAGTTTAAAAGTCTGAAATAATTCAGGAATATAGTTCTCCATCTCCATTGGTCATGTTGGTTAAGTCAGCAAATATCCTGCCAGATACATCAACGCTAACTTGCGCACTGCTTAGTCATGTTAGTGTTAGTTATCATGCAAATGATGCAAAATAGAGCAAGGAAGGCTGTTGTGAACACGCGACTGAGTCCGGGTCAACTGGTAAGTAAGTCAGCATGGTCAGTGCCTTCCTGCATGCGTATGCATGAGCATGGTATTGGTATTGATAACATCAATCAATGATGAGATTGAGACTGAGAGACTTTACAATGTGACCCCCATGACCCCCAATGTGATTCAAATTTTTCAATGCTTCTGCCTGGACTTGGGCCGCGAGGCTTACCTCTTTTGTGCTTCCAAACCCCACAAGCGAATCTGTCGATCATACAAAGCTGCCTCAGCTTCCGTAATGACAGCTGATTCTTTTTCAGTAATATCGGCCATGTTTAGTTCTCATTTAACAAAGGATATCAGCAGAAAAATACGATGCTTTGTTGACGATCGGCCTGCCGCAAACGCGTGCTCGTTCGCTACTACATGTACTGATTCTTCCCATGTACTAGAGTTGAAGTTGAACTGTGAATGAAATAGTCGTCGCGTCGAAAAGCAAGGAGGATTGACTTCAGCTATATTGAAGGTTTTCATTGGACAATTTTGTGAACTGTGATAAGTTAAGCCAATAAGTACACCTCCTTAGAAAAGGTCACGGCATGTCGAATAGTTAAGTCTAGTTCCCAGTGACTCTCTGTGCAAATCAAAGGTAGGCAATATTGGACAGCCTATTTTCACCATGGTTCTACTCGACAACGATACGGTACGTAATTAAGGACGCATATTTACCTTAATTTCTCGATATTTAACTAACATAAATCATTCAGTTACCGAAGCTGAGATTTGTGCTGACTTTAATTGTATTATTCTGTTTCAGTTTTTGACAGAGCTGACGCGACTTTTCCAGAAAACGAGAATTTCTGGAGCCATCAACGTTACAATGAAACAGTGTAAGTGTAGAGCGCCGCCAACGTCATGCTATCTAAATACTGGACTAGTACTCAGCAGCACATGTACTATGTGTGCACGTGTGGATGCTAAAATAAATAAATTGAGTACTAGTAGTATCAATTTATTTATTTTAGCATCCACACATAGTACATGTGCTGCTAGTCTGCTACTGGGTTAGGGAGGGTTATTTGCCTTTTTATTGGTTTTGGATTTCCAGACACTGGCGAAAAATGTTCTTTGACCTCCATACAAAATATGGGAGCAACTATAGAATGCAGGGCCACGCCGGAGCAAGGTTTTTTATTCTGCTTGGAGGCGGGACTGCGGCTCCACGCAGCCGTACGGAGGCGCGGATGTAGAGTGAAGTGGCCCTGCATTCTATAGTTGTACCAAAATATGTTGCACAGCATCCCCCTCCCCCATTTAGTTACTGAGAAAACATTTGGAATTTTTCAGATCAGTCGACTGGTCTGAAAAATTCCAAGTGTTTTCTCAGTAAATGCTTCAGTATTTTCCCTGCTAAATTTGACATTGTAGGACGTGTTAATTGTTTTCTCAGTTTCTGATTAGTGTTCAGTGCAGAAAAAAATGTGTGATGTCCAAACCCTAACTCCCTAGGGGGTGTGCAAAATCGTAATGAAATTGGAGGATTCAGGACTGTTAGGGATAACTCTAACAGTCCTGAATCCTCCAATTTCAATACGATTTTGCACAACATTTGCAAACATCGAAAAATAAAACTACCAAGTTCTTACGAAATACCTTACTAGGATGTTGGTAAATGACAGTCTCAAGCATCGATCTTGTAAAATTATGGCACCTGCTGTGAAGTCATTTTCAAGAAAATGATATTTTTGTAAACATTTCCAACGGTGGTCGGCCGACCAGCGTTGGAAAAACCTAACTATTTTTCAACTACTGCTCCAAATTTACCATTATTTCAGTCCAAATTTTGTTTGCTATTGGTTGTATGTTCATCAACGGGTGCAGGCCAGCTAGACTGGTTCCCTTGCCTTACAATTTTCCATCATCTATAAATTGATCCATTTTATCTTTTGTGGAGTCAGGGAACCAGACTACTTGAATATTTTTGTTTTTCTGGGTTTTTCCAACCTTTTCGAACACAAAACTTAAAAAATGTCAGTGTAACAATATTTGATCTGTTATACTAACCTCTCAAATAGTTCATTTCTGAAAATTACAGCAAAAGCCAATGATGTACATTCCCTTTAATGGAATTCTTCCCAAGAAAAGGAACACCCACCCCAACAAGAAAATTTATAATGCAGCGTTTGTTCCACAAACAGAAACTTTGCTGTAGGCCTATGGTGAATTTCGTATAGTAGGGCCCATGTAACTCTAGTCCGAAATTTTGGGACTCTCAATACTGTGTATGAGAGTCCCAGAAGTTAAGGTATTGAATGTATACAATACAAGAAAATAGACTGGCACCTGAAACAACCAATCCAACACTGCTTCAGTACTGCATCAATCAACTGTGTCAAAAGAAACATGGGGCATGAACCGAGAACTAGTCTCTATTTACTACACATTTTTCCATAGTCAGCCACCAGACTAAGACACTGAATTAAGAGGTCAGTCTTTCCAAATAGTTGGACCATGGTTGGACATATACCAGTCTAGTCTTTAGCCTCATTTTTGCATAATATTGGAGAAATGTCTCCTTTCAAAATTGAATTGAGTCTGCAAACTTGGTTGGTGAAATACTTAAGACATTTTCTTTGCCCCAGTGGAATTTTTGGAGAAATTTGCTGGCTAATTAGCGAGTAAAAATGATATTTCTTCAATTTGGACATTGGAGCAAACTTTGTACCGGTACTTCATTGAGATCCTCTCTTTTTAATTCAGAACTTTGTGTATACTGATTTTTATCTTACAGATTATGGACAAACAAAGCCACCACCAAGAGACACAAAAAGGACATCAGTGTCTGAACATTCAGAGCACAAATGCCTCTTCCGTGCAACGAACGGCAAGAAGAAACTCAGCACAGTGGTAGGGACACAGTCTGTTTTCTTTTGATTATTGTCATTGAAAAATTCCAGAAACAAGAATCAAGTGTGTAAGGGTACCAGATGTAGCTATGTTTAAATTGGGAAAGTATGTTGCAACCTGACGCCACTTTTTTCTTCATATATCATCTCAGTGAAAGGTCAGTCATTGCAAAAATGATGATAAGACATGAATCTGGGACTGAGAAACATTTCCAGTTTTGTTAGGTAATACTTTGAAAATTTTCTTGACTCTCCATAGACTTTGTACACAACCGCTGAAGTGGCGTCAGGTTGCACCATTTTTCCCTTAAATTGTTTTGGGACTTTGTACACAGTGTACGCAAAATAATATACTTTGAGAGTTTGCCCCCAAAATCCACCAGCACGTTTAGTCTCATTTAGGACTCATTTCACATTCACAACCTCATTTGTGCAGACATCTACTTAAACGAGTACAGACTCAAACAAGCTTTCTGGTGTAGATTGGTCAGTTGGAATCTGAATAAGGCCCAAAAAAATGAAATAGTTCTGCTTCCGGTTTCCCTACCTACCCTATCCCGACGGCCCCTACCCTAATTGTTTTTATGGGAAAATGAGGAAAAACACTCAAAACCATCAATTTCTACCTTTTATCCTTGACTGCACACAGACGCCTCCATATGATCGTACACAAAAAAAAAAAAAACATTCCCTGCCTACCTACCCTCTTTTTGAATGCCGTGTAATCAGAAGCAGAACTATATTTTTTTTTGGCCTAAGCAGCGGAAACCACAATCAGTATCTTGAATGTTGGATTTGGATTTAGTGATGATAATTCCAAAATTGGGTTTTGTGCAAGCTTGTACATTTTGCAAGACCGAGTATTCATAAAATGTTGGGTGAAGGGCTGAATATAATAATAAACTTTACATCTCCAGAACCATACGTACGTATTTTCGATGGTGAAGGTTCGTTGTAACCATTTTTAATCCACTTTGTCACATTTTGACACACTTATGTTTTTTCCCCCTCTCTACAGATTAGCTCAAAAGATGTCACAAAATTCCAAATGGTGAGTTGATGAGTCTAGTTGCTTTATTTTAGGCCCAACTATCTGTTATCAACTCTAATAAGGGCCCAGTGAACATTGTTTTCAGTACAGTGCTGGTATAAGTTCAGCTATATCAGGTACGTATTTGTCTGTTGCAGACATATGTTGTTCACTCACAGAGCGCACACATCCGCCAATGCTAAACAAAATCTAATCGATTTGTACTTGCACCAGGGACCACCCCTCTACATGTATATGCCTGTGTTGGTCTACCTTTCCACTCCCCCATTGTATAAAATGGTCTAGTCCATTGACTTGTGTGGTTAGATTTGGTGGGTGATAAGGCATACAGGGTGACCGGGTCGGTGCCACGCACACAAAGCTGGTCACACAGAGCGATCTGGTGAAAATTCCCTGCTAAAAATGGTATTCTTAAAAAGTAGAAAAAAATCTTAGTTCAAGAAATAGTGAGACCAGAAAACATTCCTTGAAACAAGAATTATTTTGTTATATTTAAGAAATGTAAGAAAATCATTTTTAGCAGTGTTTTCCATATGATGGGTGAAAGATCCTTTAAAAAAAAAACTCCTGCATTCAGACGCAGATCCGGATCACCTCCAAAATCTAATCGATTGTTACTTGTACCAAGGACCACCCCTAAAAAATTTTTCATGAAAATCTGTCCAGAACTTTTTGAGATATCCTGTTCACAGACAAACACACTAACCATACAACCAACCAACCAACACATAAACTAACGCCAGTGAAAACATAACCTTTTTGGCGGAGGTACCGTACATGTAATTACACAGTACATACCATATGGGCAATTCAATGGTAACTCATGTTGCCTTAAAGGGGGACTTCTGTCAACTCTGTGCTGTTATTCTATAAAGTCAAAGGATTTAGTGTGGAATTTTCTCACAGAAGATCCCTTGAAGTTGAGTGACTAATCTACAAAAAAGGATGCCAACAAAATAAACATACATGTATGTTGGTTTGACATTACATTTTTAAAGGACATGGCAGAGATTTAAGGTACCTTGCATTTGAAAATTTCCTCACACTGTGCACTGTTGGAAAAAAAACTTTTCAGTGTCCTCACATCAAGTCAGTACTGATAACAGATCTTGTGATATTTGTCACACAAAGAGGCAAAATAGGCCAAGCTGCTATAAACATGTGACCAAAGTGGCCAGGTGACCTCAACTCACTGGTTATCACAGTGGTCGTATGTTCAGAATGGACAGGTGGTTGGAATAAACAGGTGGTGATAGGGCCAAAAAAAAAATAGTCGGTCTCTGGTCAGACCGAAGTTCCGGAATTGATGTGGCGAATGGGGATTTTTTTTTCAATTTTTTTTTCTCAAGCTTGCATTGTACAGACAAGGTGAGGTACTATTTTGCTTGTTTGTGTCCTCATATACATCGGTGTCCTCCATAATTTGCCTTGGTGCCCTCCATTATTTGCCTTGATGCAATTTCCCCATTCCTTGGTGCTCCTTGTTACAAAAATTTGAGGAGGTGCGGCAATAGAGGGTGCTGTTGTAGCTTCCGTGGTAAATTTGAAGGGGGAAAAAAGGTTGACATGCATGATTAAAATCGACGCGCGCCCTGACCAGAGACTGACTTTTTTTTTTGGGCCTAGTAAGAAAAACACCAAATTGGGTCAATGGCCATAATAGGTGTATGCAGTGGACAGAATCTCATACATTTGCACGGTTTGGCTGATCTAATAATTGGAAAGCAAAAACCTACCTTTTTCATATTTTTGCAGATTGACTCCAAAGACATGTAGAAATAAGCCTTTCATGAAATCATATGCAGTACATTGGGAAGGCAGCTAGTGTAATCAATTACTGTGGATACTCAGTAAAATATGGGTTGGGGGAATGAGTTTTCATTCCTTTTGTGAACAAAGTGCAAAGTAAAAGAAATGAAGCCCCCCAAAACTGAAGCCCGCCCACACATCAATGAGTTACTGTAGTTAAGATAATATTCTGCTGTACAGCTGCAGAGGATATTAAAAATTGCAAGATGGACAACTGATTAGAATTACAATTTCTGTGTTTTGCAGCTGTTGATATTGGGTATATCATTGTTTGATTTGGTTATGCCGCGTGCTTGAACATTCCCGTCCTACTGTTTAATTTTGTAATTTTAGTCAGTCTTTTCATCCCCACCGAGCCCATCGATAGGATTTGAAATACCAGAGCCCCATGTTTGAACATGTTTTCAGAATGACAGCTGAGCTAACATGAGAAAGAGTGTTTTCAATGACACGTCTGGGATATGTTTAGAACGGGTAGTGTTGTAGCTTCACGGTAGGAAGACAAATCCTTTTATTGACCAGACATTTGTTGTGCAAATTTACCCTGTATCACCATGCTAGGTAGTCTGAGTATCACCCGTTATCCATGGAGCCCAGACTCCTGTCTAACGTCTGATATGTCTGAGCATGCAGATTTAAGCGATCGCATTTAAGCGTAACATGATACCGAGCGCGTGACGCAGGGCTTTTTAATCCATTGTCTATAACGCGCAACGGGTGAATGACCGAAGACCCGATATAGAAAGCACCCGCTGATTGGTCAAAATCTAGGAGGTCAAGACGGTCTTGCCTAATTAATCAGCGAATCTGCTCACATATAGACCCATGGCATTCGCCATGGGTCTATTACATAGACTTCATGCTAGGCACCAAAACGTTTGGGACTTACTCCAGTGATGTAGACTGATTAGTGTAGACTGGGATACCTGGAAAAGTTTGCAAGATCATCAGTAACTCAAACATTTTAGGGTTTATATTTTAAGGTTTTCATCAGCCTGTGTCTTGGGAAATGGAAATATCATTCTGAAACACATTGAGATTTTCCTTTTAAACCTGACAGTTCTGAAACCTTTGATTCATATATGGTTTTTAACAAGCTCAAGGAAACAAAATTGCCTTCAAGATGCAGTACTCACTCTCCCTGAAGTATGATAACTCTGTTCGAAAACTTGTAAAAAGTGTGTGATCTGGACTTCACCGTTACCTTCTTTTAATGAGAAAGTCAGGGCTGGTACTGTACAGGGTGGCGCACTTTTGACAGGAATTTTAAGCTACTTACCGTACTTAACTTATTTGAAACTTTTTTTTATAATGTAGTGAAGTATAGCTCTTCAACCATACGTGTTGAAAAAACCCCCTTTTTTTTTAAAAATCGCAAGAATAGTGTTATTATGCTAATTTGAATACAGGTCAGAAGAAGTCACCATAATCACTGTTGTCCACATGTAAGTCTAGTATAGTGTTCGGTCAAGCGGATGAAATAAAGTCGTCCTTGGACAAACAGGTTTGGCACATGAAATTTTTAAACTACCCACATATCTCAGAGACAAAATATGCATTTGCAATAATTTTTTCGTCACTTATGTTTAAAGATCAATATTTTTAAAACCATTACCCTTTTGTCAATAACCATAAAAACGTAATTTTTGAAATTGAATTTTTTTAAAATTGAAATATGCTCAACAAGTAGGTGAAAATGCTGTCAAAAGTGGGTTCCTTCTTTTTGCACCACCCTGTACATACAAAAAAAAAAAAAATCTCTTGACGAAGTAATGTGAAAAGTACTTCCAGGGATCCTTTTAACCCACTAGCGTCTGTTGAAATCAGATCCGTTAACGATCGTTTCCTGCCGTGATGTTTTCCTGTTAGTGTCTAACTTGTAGTTCTTTTGGTGACTCCTTGGCATTTGCATTTGGCTCATCCACATGAGTGATTGTCTGGACCTATCATAGACGAATTGCATATGATTACCACACACTTGGGAGGCCCCCTTCAATGGAGAAACCAATTTGCATACTATTGTACAAAAGAACTGCCCCCTGACGGATTATCTGAACAATAGCAAGCACGATGCCTTCGTCATTGAAGGGGGCTTTTGTGATAGAATTGTTAGCCAAAAATGCTGATACCACTTGGGAAGAGGGAACAAAATTAACAAGTACACATTCATGCGTAATGCCAGGGAAAAAAATTTGGTGTTGAGTTACCCAAGTCAACAACAAAATCCACGTGTAGTTTGTTGAATTTGCACATGAGAGGGCACTAGTCAAATATGGGTATTGACAAATTGGAAGACTGCCAACAAAAGGCAAGGTACATGTTGTATACATGGAGTTTATCAAAAGTCGCATCTTCGAGTTCCATTGTCTTCTTCCTTTGTTCCAAAAAAGAAGGTACTACTTTCCAATTTAGTTGCTCTTACGCACTTTTTATGAAATGACATTTTTTTTTTTTACAGAATCTGTTCCTATTTGTGTGTGTCATCCAATGCAATTTGGTGACTCTATCGTTCATGAAATAACCCAAATTCTTATATTTTTTTTGCAGTATTGTTCAGCTTGAAATTGTACATGTTGTTATAGAGGGAAGGGTCATGTGACTACTTCATAGTTTGGATGTTTTGATTACATGTACATTTTCTGTTAAAATCTAGAACAACATTTGTTAGGGTTAGGGCCCGAGGTTTCAGCTATCGATTGCATGCATGCTCATGTCCCAACAGCTGTTGATGTATTGACGTTTCAGTTTTCACAAGTGGCTGTTCCTATGGATATCACGATGTCAACTGACATTGTTTGGCTATTAACAGATCGTTCTTGTCTCTTCATGCACGGAAGACTATTTTCAATCAATTTAATATTCTGGTATGCTCTATTTATTGTCCGTTGTATATCTGACTTTATTTTGGTTAAACGTGTAGGCGTGTACCATATGTTTTTATTTAACATTGACATCAAAACATCTATTTAATGAGAGCGGCTGCAAAATTCGACCCCATTTTTAGGAAATGGTTGGTAGGTAACCATTTTTCAAATTAAATGTACGCACTATGTGTAAAATAAGGAAAGGATCTCAAGCAGATAAGACCTTAGACTTGACAAAGAGGATTTGCACTCATACTAAAGTTCAGATGAAGGACTCGTATTCAGGGGCGGATTTAAGGGGGGGGGGAGGTGTTGGGTGCATAGCCTCTTTTGTCCTACCAATACTTGAAAACAATGAATTACTGAACAAAAATCCTGACTTTTCATAAGTTTAATGAAATAACATCCTACAAAACTGCAAATGTCGATTTATTGCCTGACGCCTGTGGTTTTATCTGTGTCTTCACGTTAACTCCTTCACTGTAACACCCCACCCCCACTCCCCGGAAAAAATCTTGGTGTTAAACACCTCAACCACCCACTTTGAAAAACCTGGATCCACCAATGAGATTAGTAGAATGAGATTAGTGGCTGAAACAATGTTCTTTCAAGTGTTGGTTCTCCTTAAGGACGAATCAGTACTGTCTGAATTTTGAAACAACCAGAAAACTTAGAAAACTCAATCAGCTTATTCAGAACAAACATTTGTTAGTAAAAAAAGTTAGTATTCACTGTGCCATCTGCACTGCTTATTCTAGTCTTCATTCCACCATGCAAATTAAACACCTGTACCGATTCATAATATGCTTACAAGTTCTTTCCCATTTTGCTTACCGTCACTCTGCCATCTGCAAACCTCATTCTAGTCTTCATTCCACCATGCAAATTAAACACCTGTACCGATTCATAATATGCTTACAAGTTCTTTCCCATTTTGCTTACCGTCACTCTGCCATCTGCAAACCTCATTCTAGTCTTCATTCCACCATGCAAATTAAACACCTGTACCGATTCCTAATATGCTTACCAGTTCTTTCCCATTTTGCTTACCTTCCACAGGCTTATGCCAACGTCTTGAAAGCAAACATGGACAATCTTAAGAAGAGAGGCAAGCGAGATGCCAAAACCAAGACAAAGACCAACAAGGCCACGTAAAACAGGCTGGTAGTTGTAGACTGAACTCTAAGGAAAAAAACTCTTCTTTCTAGAATTTTTCAGAAACTCACCCTCAAAAAAAAGAGAGCTGAAGCTCAGTTGTTTTGGGGAATATTTCTTGATGAACTCTTGTAATTTCTTGCGGAAATCTTTTTTGTTTATTTTTAAGTGAAACTTTTTATTTCTTTGATCAAAGTTCTGTATTAATTTTTTTTTTTAATAATCATCCTTGGATTTGCATTCAAATCCTTGATGTGACTTGCATGCCAACACAACTGCGTTTTAATATGTGGATTTGAGGACAATGAAAAACATTAATATAAAGTGCATGTAGTTTTTGTGAGATTATGTAAATGAAAATTTAATCAAGTGTTGAGGACACTGTAGATTGGGAGCAAGTCTAACATTATGAAACCTTTATAGCTTTGGTTATCTGTGTTCGGCGTAAATCGTCAGTCGGAACCATGTGGTGTTCTTTTTAATGTACATCTATTTGTTTTGTTAATATTGATGCAGGGGTTAACAGTGTGGTGCATGGTGGGGTAGCATAGTTGTCTGTGGTTTTTAGTTTAATTGTCTCCAAAAATTTGACTGATAGAAGAAGATATCTCTAGTCACGCTGCTGACGCAAACTCTTAATTGAATGCTTTGTTTTGAACTGGTGTTTGAGGGAATTGACCTATCGCGGTAGAATGGCGTCAACGCAGCTTGTGAAATATTGTCCAATTACATGATACATGTATACACATTTGAACGCGCAACACGCAAAATCTGAGACAAACAAACTAACGTACAAAATTCCCTATAGGATTGTCTAAGGGGCGTGGCTAACTCACAAACGATGATGGGTCAATAGGTGTTTGAGGGAAATGCTGATTATTGACAATAACTATATTCAGTTATTTTCCTTGAAGTCATGCTCAAAACAAAAGACAGTGTTACAAAATTACAAATTTGAATCTCTTTGGCCAAAACAGCTGTGTCTCAACGGACAGTTCATCTACTCATTTGTTAGTGAATTTTCTTTTTCTTTTCGTGAGAACTGCGTCATTTGTTATCCTTTTCCCTTGTACCATTTAAAGTAATATTACATAAGAATTGCATATTTTGTAAATAAGACAGTACCACATGCAATAAAATACAGTTAACTCAAAAGACATCTTTGATAATTTCTCCGATTTATTTCGTTGTTTTGCAGATTAACTTTATCACTTGCCACAAACCACGGATCCTGCACAAACTTACTACCAATCAGAGACCAAAAATTTAGGAGTGTGTGTTCGAAGTAAAGATCGTCACCATCAAAGCTTACACATAAAATGAATGCAGCCTCAAAAAGAAAAGAACCGATATTGGAATGTGGTTAGAAGGTTCAATCCCTTGTACACAGAATGTCATTGTTTTCTGTCCGAGGGGAAAACTGTGATACAAATTCTTTGACATACGGAATTACCATATTGGAATTATACCGAGGCTGAGCAAAAAAACACACAAACAAACAAACAACCCAACCACCAGATTCCTTCGCGGCATAACAGTACAGGGTGTCCCCCAAAAAGTTGTGCAAGCCGATATCCTTTAATTTCTCAAAAACTACTTAACATGAGTATTTCATCTTGATGGAGCGTATTAATTATACTCTTGTGTATAATCAGTGAAAATGCCATGGAATTCTGTTCACGCAAACCAGAGATCTAACAGATTGTAAAAGGCTATGGGTTTTTCACCCATTCCAATGGGATTTACACAGTTGGCGATATCAGTGCATCAGATTGTCATGGCCCTTTTCACTCTGATATAACTTAGGCTAACTGTGTAATCCCATTCCATTGAAAATCTAGGGTTTACGATTGAAATTCCTTCTTGCCTCCGATAATCGCCGATGCGCATGCACACATTCATTATTTATCAGTACAGAGAGGTTCCATAATACCCTTTTCAAGAATGCGTCGCCATTGAAGCAAAGATTAAAGATTCAGTTTGATTTTCTTTCAGAAGACTTACAGAAGCGACGTAATTTACTGTAAATACAGTTGTATAATTACTATTCCAGTAGATGCAGTTGTACATTTTTTGTAAATAATACATTCAATTTGATGTTTTTGTAAAGATTAAAAAAAAAAATATTTAGCCTAATCATTAGTTTTTGAAATGAATGCAACCGGCTGGGCTTTTACTCCGACTCCTGGATGGTCCGCAATGTCTCTGCTGTTACCGGACCTTCTTACTTCCCAATTTCAAGGTCGTCTGTAAATGAAATAAAACATCGTCAAACATGTCGCAAAGTTTACGTTGTGGACTTGGGTGAGGTGTCAAGGTTGGGGGGGGGGGCGGGCATAATAATTGATCACAATAAATACAATTGGAAAATTGGGTATTATGTATTACGGGGAACGGTGGCTTTGGGAGACATTCCCATAGACTTGTGCACACAAAAATCGTAACTTTAAAACACCTAACCCTAACCTTAACTTAGCCTTTGTATACTCTCACCCAACTTTGTAAATTTGGTTTTTGCATCGTGAGGAATCGATTTAGGCTTTTTGCAACAGTAGAATTAGTTCTTGAAACGTCAGGGAGACATTCGAATGTCCTCCTAATCTGTCTTGTCTCCCGAAGGTACAACTTTTAGCACTGAAACGTGTCTCCGAAATGGACCATTTTGTGAGGATTTGTTTCTCTCGAAAATTTGAGAAATAAGAGGTGAACTTTGAAGTTTATCCACAATTTGCACTGGAAAATGCTGTAACAATCTGGTGTTTTACAAAGTAACCCGATGCCGTCCATGGCCTCAAATTTAAAGCATCCGTCTGTAATACGGAACATTAAGTTTGGCGCCCTTTCACAGTCAAAAGTCATAATCACTATGGTGACAAGATTGTACCTAAGCTTCTGCTAATTGACAATCATAGTCAGTCGTTTTCTAGTCTGACTAAATTCAAATATTCAATATCGACTTTACTGTGCTCATGAAATTATACGTTCGTGGAGGACAAAACCCAATATTGAATTTACAACCCCCAACGCCAAAACATATACCATACATAATTGATTTATATAAGAAGTTGATTTGTTTGTTTATTTTTTCTCTCTCTCCAAAATGTATCATATCTGATAGTTTTCTTTTAGTTTCGAAAGTCCAATTTAGTGGAAACCTTAAATTTTCTCTTGTTAAAAGTGAGAAAATCGTGACTTTAGCTCAGAGGGATAGTCTGTATCCACTTTGGAAGAAAATGTACTTACCAACTCGTTTGCCGAGATTGAGTCCACCGTGCCGGACAGACATCATACAGTACCCCCCTCTGAACGTGCTGCACCTGTACTGGTTGCACCCATTCTTGTGGCAATCGGCGGTACTGCTGCATTTCATGTTTCGGATCCCCTCGCAATTCTTGTTGGCAATCCGCATCTCGTTGGTCATGATGTCTGATCCCAGCACCAAGATCTGGAAACAAAGTGTGAAATTGACGGTGAGGAGTGCACTTATATGTCGATATTAAAGGAGAAATGGGAGTTGGAAGTTGACAATAGAATCGGTGATGGGAAAGATCTTAGAAGCCTTGGTGCTTTTTTCCCCAGGATTTTTAGAGGGACAGTATAGCAGCAGCTCACCAACACCAATGCCCTATTCATCATGACGCCACTGCCACAATAACTATCAACCATCACCGACTGCAACACCATCACCACATTTTACCACCATGATCACCACCACTGCCATCACCCACAATATCCATCACCTTCATCGTCTTCGTTGTCGTCGTCGTCGTCGTCGTCGTCGTCGTCGTCGTCGTCAACATCAACACTATAACAATGCAGCTGCGCCAACAACACGAACAGCAGCAGCAGGTCGAATTAAAAGAAAACATGTAAAATACAAAGAAAAAACAAAACACAACAAAAACTTACATGTTGAGAGAGGAGTATGCCCACCAACAGGGCAGTGCCAAGTCGACTCATGTTTCCGGTGTGATGAATGAGAATTTCTCAAATCCACGGTTTTCCCAAAATGGAATTCCACAGTAAATGAACAAGCAGTTTAATTAATTTGTAAATCTCACTGATGGCTGAACTACCAGTATGTTTCCCTGACGATCCGTCTTAAATTTATGTATTCTCCGAGGTAAGCTATAATGATATACAATGAGGATCACCATGTGCACATTTAATATGCACTCATGTGGGAAAAGTGTTTGTGGTTTTTTTTTTTAACATTCACGTGATCCTTTTCGATTTTACCTTGAAGGGAAGGGGCTGATTGCGTCAGAAACACCTGTAAAATATAGCTACATTGAGGGCGGGTAAATTATAATGAAAACTGTGATTGACTTTTAGATGCCGATCTTCAGAAATCGTTAGTTTTTAGTGATCGGTACATGGTAATCTGGGGGGGGGGGTGTTCATCTCTCGCCACCTGTGTGTTTGAATATCATTCAATCTTCCCAGATTTCCACAGCTGACGCAACTTCAGACGTATAAAGTTACACATGCGCTATGCACTTGTGCCGTATACTTACCCTACTTATCCTTGCATGAATATACATATTAACATTCTGAAGAGGAGGCAACAGTTCGTATTTATGTACAATTAGACTATAGATCGACTGTGGCCCATAACTGGGATGGCAACACACTGTTTGCTGGTCTCAGAGCCTGCATCTTGCGTCCTCTTAGAAGTTTTTACTGCGGTGGTGTCACGCTCACGCACACGTGCTACACGCGTTCCTATTAAAGACGAGATGCGCGCGCATTTTGATACGGTCCATAGATATAGAAAAAAATTCGGAAATTTGGTTTGGTCGTAAAAACATTTTCCGAAATTCTGCTAGCAGAAATTCGGCAGAAAATTCGGAAATTTAGTTTGGTCGTAAACGCCCCTTCTGATTTTCTGCGTGTTGAAATAAGAACATTGGTTTGTCCACTTTTGGACCGCCTGTACTGTGTACAAGAAAATAAAAAATCCAAATTTTTGATAATAGAAAAATGAAAATTCAGAAAGAGGACTCCATTTCAACCATAATTCTGTTTTTGTTCTAGCAGATTTTTGAGAAAATGGGTTGTCCACTTTTGGTCCTCCATACCGGAGGCGATATTTTTTTTTTACACAACTATCTGGGGTACTTTGTGCGCTTTCCTATGGAGCATGGTTTTTATAAACAGGCTTGAGTGGAGGCTACTATGTATCTGTCAACTTGGTACGGATTTCGGACTTTATTATTTTTTCGGGCAATTATTCGCAAGTAAGTTGTTTTTTTAAAGAGGCCTATACAACATGGCATGGAGGAATATGAACATGGGAATGACAAAGCAAATTATAATATCGTTAATGTTGTCGCTCTGAGTTTGAGGGGATGGAGGCCTGTGTGGTAGCTAGCGAGATATTCTGTTCAAATTCCATGCGATCTAGGCCTGTCATGCTGGTCGGCATCAATTTGTTTTAACACTGATCCGGCAATGGCAATGAACAAAAGTTGACTTGTTTAAAATAGTGTATTCGAATAACTTTTATAACTTTTATATGCAAAATCTAATTTAATTATGTCTGCCTTGGCTTAACGCCTACCGAAATGGTTCTACGCGGCCATCCTCCATACAAACGATCAGCGTTGAAATACGCGCTGTATTCACGCACAGATGGGTATAGGCTAATTGCATGTGATACACCCTCGACTTACTGAAACCATAACTCCTAAAAGAAACGGGTACTGAACATAGTAACTGTACCCAATGTAAATTTAGTTTGTCTGCTTGCTGTAGAAACCAAATATTTCTGCTTGTGGAAAAAATTTATGTACGTACTTTCGAATTCAAAACGACAGCAATTGCACTTCGGGCACACTGACTATGTCAGAGTACATCCAAGAACAGTTTTCATCAAAGACAAATGGACAAAAATTTCACCCCTCTCATTTCCAACAAAAGCCAGCCATTTAGTCAAAGTATGAGAAGCAGAAAAAAAGCTGCCTAATATTGGAGACGTGATCTACTTTTTTGGGGGTTCACATATTGACTACTCAAAAACAGAAACAGTCGGTAGACTTCAATTTGGAGTTTGACGGAGCCTCAGTCCTTGGAGTTCATTAACATATGCTTATTATCTAAAAAAAACCCAAAAAACAACAAAAAAACATGCTTTTATTAATGGCTTTCTTGTTTT